CTAGAATTCTAGAAATGATATTGTTGATTGTTGCTGGTTTAATATGCAAAAGTGAGAAGAGCTTTTGATAGTTTTGAATCTTGCTATGATTAAGAATACTATGTTGCTTTGTTGTATCGTATTTACGGTCGATCACTTTGGCACCCTTTACTTATTTGTGATTGTTGTTATTTATATGCTTGAAGGTTTGGGACCCGGAGAAGATTGTTGTTATACCAGATCATTACATATTCACAGCTGATAAGCGTGCTAATCGTAACGTGGATATCATGAGGGAACATTGTAGAGAACAGAACATTAAGTATTTCTATGATATCACTGACCTTGGGGATTTCCGGGTATGATGGTTTTGAAATTTCCAATGGTGTAACAAAATTTCTATCTTGTTTGCTTTTGGATGAAGTTTTTAGTGCTTTCTTTTTCTCTCATCTGTAGGCTAATCCTGATTACAAAGGTGTTTGCCATGTTGCACTTGCACAAGAAGGTCATTGCAGGCCAGGAGAGGTAACAATCGCTGGATAGAAGATTGGCTTTTTTTTGGTTTTGTTCTGATAAAATTGGCTTTGTTTGTTTCTGCTCTAGTTGATATATTTTTCCTTATGATAGGTTTTGTTAGGAACAGACTCGCACACATGTACTGCTGGAGCATTTGGTCAATTTGCTACAGGGATTGGAAACACTGATGCAGGCTTTGTGTTAGGCACTGGAAAAGTCCTCCTTAAGGTTTGTATAATAGCTGATTCCTTTGATTCTCTATGCCATAGTTTGTTCTGTATGTTAATGGAAATCAGTGATGCCTATTTCAGCTTGACAAAGGATTTTTAGGATAGTTTCCCCCTGTCCAACTTGTATAACCCCAACAACTGTTTCTAAAGCTCGTATCCTGATTTTTCAGGTGCCACCAACTATGAGGTTTATCTTGGATGGTGAAATGCCCAGTTATTTGCAAGCAAAGGATCTGATTTTGCATGTGAGTATATGCCTTACATCATTTGTTTTACGTTTACAGCATCTGAAATCTTTAACATATCAATCTTGACAGTAGTTTGAGGCATTAATGCAACTTTTGATGTGTCCTAGTCATGTCTGCACCAAATTCTATTACTGAGAAGTCATTTTTCAATCTAATTTGATAGTTCAAACCTTCTTTATGTAGTCATTTCCCTTTTTGGTGGTTCTATCTGGCGTCTTTCTTTCTGAATATTGAACTTGCTTCCATATTTGTAGATCATTGGTGAAATATCTGTTGCTGGTGCAACGTACAAGACGATGGAGTTCAGTGGTACAACTGTTGAAAGTTTGACTGTAAGTGATTATTGTGTTTTTTACATAAAGAGTCCCTTCATCTATGGGTATAAATAATATTTGGCGTATGTTGACTTCACTGATCTAAATATATTTGTTTCAATTTATTTTTGCATGCTAGATGGAAGAAAGGATGACATTGTGCAACATGGTTATAGAAGCTGGGGGAAAGAATGGTGTCATCCCTCCTGATGCGACGACATTAGATTATGTTGAGGTATATTTGCTGTCTTGTTCTCCTGTAAATCATTTGTTTTCCCATGGAAAATTATATTGAGATGTGTACTCTTTTCATTTATCTTCTGCAGAATAGGACATCTGTACCCTTTGAGCCAGTATACAGTGATGGAAATGCAAGGTACAATGACATGGTATCCTAAATTGATAAAAAGTGGGATGAGTAAATGTGAATTTGTATTTGGATTAATAGTGGAAATAACCTCAATACTCTGGATATGAAACACAGCATGTTTAATTCCTCGAGTAATGCAACTTGGTAGAATGGTCTCTCCTCGAGTAATT